TGGGAGCGCCAGCCCCTGGATGGGGAAAGGCACCACCCAAAGCACCCGTGTAGACAAGATCCCAACGCCCAATGGGGAGAGGAGTGACAGAAGGGTGGTGTGCCGTCTGTAAGCTTTTCACGGTGAGTGTGGAGCTGGCAGCACGCCTGGGGCCCCACCTCACTTTCCTCCTTTGCCCCGGATGGGCTTCTGGGGTGGGTGAGTGAGGCTGAGGGTGAGTGCCTTGGCCCAGCCCAGCGGCCTTGTGGCAGGCCATGCCCAGGTGCCTTTATGCACTAGGCTTGCAGGTTTCAGTGGCCCGGCCTGGCCGGCAGTGCAGAAGTCTCGGGGAAAGATGCTTTGCCCTCCTGAGGAGCACTGCCCTGGGTCAGAAGCAACGTCCACTCAGCGGGCTCCTCTGCGGGGGGGGAGGGGGCCGGGGGCAAGGGAGCCTGGTTTGAGGGGCTGCCAGCAGCAGGGCCCTGGCATGGGGCCCCAGAAACTGCGTAATCCACACCGCAGCTCTCAACGTTTCCTTCGTGGTGTGGATCCTCTCGTCTGAGGGATTGCTCCCGAGCCTGCCCGACCCGGCCGAGCCACCTAGCGAGGGGCTTACCGCACGGATGGCCAGCCACACGTGCAGGTAGCAGAGCACGATGATGCTGAGAGGGATGATGCAGCACGTGGTCATGAGGACGATCATGTAGGACTGCCCCCCGGGGTACGAGCTGCCGCTGAACACGTCGGGCCCGCACGAGGTCTTCAGGCCGTGAGGCCAGTACCTGGAGGAGAAGGGGCTTGGGCTCGCTCCTGACCTGGGTGGGGCTTGGTAAGGCCTTGCCCCTTTTTTGGTCTCATGTCCCCTCTTTTTTTTTTTTTTTAATTGTGGTTCAGTGCAAATAGCATGAAATTTACCATCAGGGACTTCTTTTAGTCACACTGCTGTGCAGCTGTCACCACTCAACAATTCTGGGTCACTGTCATCACTACAGCCATGTCCCATCTTTACAAAGAGGGCTGAGGCCCTTCTCTCTCTGATGCTCTAAGAACCCCCATGAATACTTGGAGTCAATAGGCAGCAGCTGCCCCCCCCCCCCCAACAGAGAACATTAACTGTTGAGAACTCATGAGGACCTCCCCTGTAGGCCTTGTCTCGGGAGCAAGGGAGCCTGCTGGTGAGACACTTCACCTTGGCCATGGAGCCCTCTTCTCAGTGGCTAGAGTTGGGAGGGACTTGGGCAGAGACTTGGGCAGTGGCCTGTTCCCTGGAAAACTTCATTCGATCTACGACTTCGGATCAATTATTTCAATGTGTTACATTTAGGACATGTGGTCTAGTTGCCAATATCATTGTCATATATCAGTAAGGAGTGAGAACAAAGTCAAAAGGAAGACACGTTTTCACTCCAGCCATCCCATGGTTGGCCACAGTGGTCCTGAAACCTCTCCAGGTCACAGGGCTCTCAGGGGTCTACTGCATTGGCCCACCTTGTGCTCTAGAAGTATGGCCTCCACAGCCAGGTGGCTGGTAAACTACCCTCTGTGTGCCTCAGTTTCCTCGCCTATAAAATGAGGCTACAGGAAGGAGGTGAATTAGATTGACTTGGGTTCTGGCTGGTGCCAAAAGCAGTGTTTGGAGACGATGGGCTTTGGGATCAAACGGACCCAGTCGCAGCCCTGTGTGATCCTGGGTGGCTTGAGTTCCCTCTTAGAGCCTCTGTTTCCTCAGCTGTCAGGGTGGCCAGGAGGATTAACTGGGACAGTCTACGGCATCCCAGCATGTGTCTCTAACAGGCAGCTGCCCTGGGGGAGAGCTTGGAGTCTATGTGAAATGTCCTGTCCTCATCCTTCTGCCTCAGACATTGGGGTCTGTCCCCAAAGAGGCAGCCTGAACAGGACACAGAGGCCATGCCCTGCAGGTCTAAGTGTCCCTGCAACCCAAGCAGTGTCCGAAAGGGGGCCCCCAGAGTGTGCAAGAAAGAGGCCTGGGGTCGAGGGCCGGGCTTGCTTTCCTCTGAGGGTTTCCGTCCGTTTGTTGCAGCTTGTTCACGCAGTCGTGGCCCACCTGTTGCGGCACGCAGGGGTCCAGAGACAGGAACTGATGAGCTCTGGCTCTCAGCTCTCCACCAGCCCCACCTGTGTGCTTACCTGCTCCAACCAAAGATGGGCGGGGCAGTCCAGATGGCAGCCCAGACCCACGAGAAGGCAATACCTGCGGTCGCCAGTTTGGCATCAAATCTCACATTGCCAAAAGGTTTGCAGACCACCAACCATCTCTCCCAGGAAATGATGGCCAGCGACCAGAGGCCTGTGATCCCTGTGGGGGAGAGTGGGCAGGGCTTCCATCCAGCAGGCGCTCTCGGGCAGAGCCAGCTGGAGGGGGCAAGGCCACGCAGCAGGACAGCCTCCAAGGCCACCCCATCCGGTCAAGGCCACCCACCTTGAAAAGTTCATTCGCAACCAAGTGTGTGCAGTTACAGTGGGCAGGGGACTGACGGCCCCTTTCCCGCTTTGGCGCTGCCTGGCCCTCCTCCTCGGTGAGCCTGCAGACACAGTCCCCCTCTGCTGTTCCTGCTCCTCTCCTCCCGTTGCGGCAGGGGCTCTGACCCCCGCTTTGGTCACTGAGTTTCTCGCAGATCAAGTCACGGAATGTTGAAACCCAGCCTCCACACACCTCCCACAGGAAGGGGAGGGACAGGGGACCGGAAGCAAGGGAGGAAGAGGAGAGCAGGGAGGGAGGAAAGAAGGAAAACCATAAACGGAAGAGCAGCCGGAGAGAAGGTTCACATCTGGCGGCCCTGGCGCTCCCCTCCTCTGGAGCCTCAAGCTCTAACCCTGCCCCCTCTGGAGGCAGCTCTGAGGTCCTGCCTGCCCATCCTCTTCCTCTTGGGTCCCTGGGGCACCCTGCCTCACTCCCACCTAGAACACCCACGTCCGGCCTCCTCATCCCTCCTGCCAGCGAAGCCTTCCTTCGTGTGCCTGTGGTGGAACCGGACTGTCCACTGGGATCTGTCCCGTACCACTGACCACTCTGGCCTCCCCTCGGCCACGTGGCCTCATGTGTGGCGTAGTGCTCGGTCCCTGGTCCCTGTGCTCCTCTCTGTCACATGGTCACTAACAAGGCTGAGCTCTCCCTGCATGGGCCGCGCTATGGGCCAACTCCGTGGCCCTGAACGGACTGTGACTGCAGAGCTCTGAGTGCTGGGGCGGGGCGGGGCGAGGATCTGGGACCCAGTCTCCATATTTGAGAAGCCGAGGGGGGCTGGAGTTCTGCCTGGAGCCGCATGCTGGGACAGTGCCGGGCTCTCCCTCCCACTGGGGCTGTAGCCGCCTCCTCCCACCCAGCCCCAAGGCCTCAGCGTGGCTCTGCAGGCCAGCCCTCCCGCGTCTTCAGGGTATCCCTGGCCCAGCTCCTCTGTGTGCCCCAGGCCAGGTTTCCCTTGAGGTGGGGGTGTGGAGGGGGGTTGCAGCGAGCTTACCGCAGAGGGAGACAGTGTAGCCCTCCACGACACACAAAGGGTGGCCGAGGACAAAGTAGCCGTAGATCTGATTCACCACGCTGATGCTGCTGGCGATGACGGTCTCTATCAGGTCAGCCACTGCCAAGTTCACCAGGATCCAGTTCAAAGGGTGGCGCAGCTTCTTGAACCTCATGGTGGCCACCAGCACAAGCCCGTTGGTGAAGACGGAGGCAAGGACCACGAAGAGCATCCAGGCGCTGGTGAGGTGATACACCCACCGGGGGGCAATGTGGTAATTGGGGCCTTCGAAGGGGCCTGGAGCCGGGACGTGCAGGAGAGAGAGAGAGAGAGAGCAGGGTCGCGTGGCTTGGGCCAGGGGGCCATCGGGGACAGACTCGTCCGCTTACCAGCCTGGGAGGAGGAGAGGGCGGGGGGCCCTCGGCCCTCCTCACTCTTCTGCCCCTAGCCTCCCCTTTGCAACCAGTTCTTGTCCCTGAAACATGCTCAGTCCCTCCATCCGGCCTGGCAAGCCCCAGCCCTGCAACTCAGCAAAATGGACGCCTGTCACTTGGCAGTCTGATTCCCCACCCCACCCCGACCCCGGGCCCAGGGGCAAACGCCTTCTGCGCTGTTTCCGAGCTGCCCTCGTGCTCCCCTTCCCTGCAGTTCTCTTCCCTTCCTTGGGCAAATCCTTTCGTACCGCAAAGCCCAGCTCAGAAGTATTGGCTTTCCAGAAGCCTGCCCAATCTGCCAGCTGTCACCCCGCCCCTTCTGTGTGCTACCATGCAGATCCTTCATGTCCCCCCCATCTGGAAATTACCAGTGCACAGGGCTTGTTCTCCTCAGCAGCCAGGATTGGGTCTGATTCGTCTCACATACAGTCAGTCACCAGCACTCAGTGGGTGCTGGCAATGAACGAATCAGCAAGGGCATGAATGAGTGAATGAACGGGTGCAGGAGTAACTCATCTTTCTCAAAATACAGCCGCTTCTTGGAGACACTTCCAGAGTTCTTCGTTACCCTTAACAGAAACTCAGGACCCCTGCAGCACCAGCTGCCATTTCCCCCTCCCTCCAGCTGCTGCTGACTAATCCTCACCTCCTTTCTGATTCTGCAGGTTTGCCTGTTCTAGAGGTTTCGTGTGAGACCGTCCAGTGTTTGTTCCTTGTGTCTGGCTTCTTTCACTCAGAGTCAGGTTTTCAAGGCTCGTCCACATCCTACATAGATCAGGTTCCATTTCTCTTTGTGACCGAGTAAGACCCCATTGACCAGATGGTCCACGTGGTGCTCATCGAATCACCTGTTGATTGACACTTGGGTTGATTCTACTTCTGAGTGATTGTGAATAGAGCCGCTATGAACATTGGTGTATCAATCTATCCACGTGTGTTCCTGTTTTCACGTCTTCTGGGAACATATTTTGGAGTGGAATTGCTGGGTCATGTGGGAATTCTGTGTTTGTTTGGAAACCGTCACCTTCTTCCACAGCTGCCAGCAATGTACAGAGGTTCGGGTTCCTCCCCATCCTCAATGACACAACCATCTGTTGCAGATTAAACTGGGTCCCCTCAAAATCTGTGGGGGCCTCCTCAGCTCTACACCAGTGGGTGGAATCCTGTTTGGAAATCAGATCACAGCTGAGTACGGTGAGCCCTTGATCTAATTACTTCGGAGCCGGACAAAGAGCAGATTAGACGCAGACACACACACACAGGGCAACACCATGTGATGATCACCGAGGAACCAAGGAGCACCCAGGGCTACCACCAATGAAGGCATCCACATGGCTGAGACCCAGACTTGAACTTCTGGCCTCCAAAACTGTGAGACAATAAATGTCTGCCACCCACTTGTGATGTTTCTGTTGGAGCAACACTAGGAGCCTGAGACACCAGCCTAGTGTCGCCATCGACACTTTGGCAAAGCACTTGAAGGGGTTACAGGACTCTCAGTCATATCAGAGAGTTGGGGGTAATCGCAGCCATCACACCACATGCCTCACTGCCACATGCCAGTCCCCACAGAGTCTGGAAAAACAGGCATTAATATCAGCCTGGACTATTAGGACTTTCTCAGGTGCCTGTTACAGAAACCCAGCTTAAGGAAAAGGAGGCTTTCTTGGCACATATGACTAACAAGGACAGGATCAGTCCACCTCCAGCACAACTGGAGCCCAGGGCATAGGACTCTGTCACGCAGCCCTGCTTCTCTCTGTGAGAGCCTTCTGTGTCCCCGGCACAGCGAACTTCCCAAACTCACGGGATGACCTATACCCTCCTGTACTGCAAACTCCGAGTCTGGGACAGATCAGCGACAACTCGGGACCTCTGTGGTGTGGGTCTCTGTGCAGAAGGGAACGGGAAACAGGCCTGGGAGCAGACACTCCCTGGGAGGTCCGGCAGGCTAATTTGAGAAGAGGCTGAACTGGGAGGTGTTTTTAACACTCCGCTTTGCAGGCACATGCAAGGGACTGGAACAATCTGTCGTTATTTGCCATTGAATCAGACCCGACTCCTAGCGACCCCTCCTTGGGTTTCTGAGGCAGTAGCACTACGGAAGTAGATTGTCCAACTTTCCTTCCGAGGAGTGGCTGGTGGGTTTGAACGGCCAGCCTTCTGGGTAGCAGTCAAGTGCCTTAGACACTACGCCACCAGAGCTCCTAGAGGCTACAAACTCACAAAACTGGCCAACCACAGCACCCTTCCAGGACAAACTGAATGAGTACAAATTGTGGGCGGAACAGGGACAAGAGGAGCGAAGGAGAGAAACGATCCATGTAACGGGGAGGAGGGACCAGCAGGCCTCTTCTGCTGCCTCCCAGCACCCCCTCGGCGTCGAAAGCCACTGAAGAGGCCGCTGTCGGTGCAGCTGGAAAGTTCCCAAACTAATTTCAGGAAGAAATGGCTAAGAGAAAAGGTGCACAGTCAACTTTCAGGCAACGTTATTATCAGAAATACGGGGAACTACTTGCACACCCAAGTTCACTGCAGTACTGCTCACAACAGTGGAAGCAGTCCAAGTGTCCTTCGCCAGATGATGGATAGACACCATGTGCTCCATCCATACAATGGAATATTACTCAGCTGGAAAGAGAGCTGAAGTCCTGATATGTGCTATGACACGGATGAACCTTGAACACATGCTGCTGAATGAAGAAAGACACAAAGGACGCATATTGTCTGATCTCATTTACACGAAATATTTTCAATAGGCAAGTGGATGGAGACCAACATGTACTAACGGTTACCGGGGCCAGAGAAGGGTGGGATGAGGAGATATTAAGAGTTACTGAGCTTCTGTTAGGGGCAACAGGAAAAGTTGGACATGGATGGTGGTGATGCCTGCACAACATGGTGGACATAATTCACACTGAATGATACTTGTGAAAAATGTTGAAATGGCAAGTGTTTTGTTACACATATTTTACCACAAGAAAAAAGAGACAGAATCCCAGACATTCCAGCCAATCACAATGTGTGGACCTTATTTGTCCCCTGACTCAAATGAACAGGCTGAAGAAAGGGATGCTATTACTTGGAACTTTGATGCTAACTAGGATGTTTGACGCCATTAAGGAACCATTGGTAAAGTCTTCAGCATGGATAATGGCCTCGTGGGCATTCTCAATCTCATCCGTTGAAGAAGCCTTGGGGTGCTGAGGAAATTCTGAGGTGCAAACAATCATATGGAGGCACAGTGGCTGACTGAATTGGTCTGGAGAGGGCGGGGGGTGGCAATTTGCTGATCACCACTTGGGGACCGCTGAGCAACTCTGGAGGCACATGAGAAGGTCTTGAAGGACCTGAAACTCTTTGGACCAGATGGCTGCTGTGGTCTCCTGCCACCCTGAGGTTCTAGAAGTTACCTGGCCTCTTCTGCTGCCTCCCCAGCACCCTCCCCTCAAGGTTTGCGTCGGGGACACGCTTCCTGGCGGTCCTCCGGCCTCCTCCTGGCCACAGGAGATGCAAACATGAGGCAGACCTGGCGGCACAGGCCAGGTGGACAACATTCGGTCCGCAGTATAAAAAAGGAAGACAGGCCTGGGCAGAGTTCCCCCCAAGGGTTTGAAAATATGTGCTCGAGATGGTAGGGGGCTTTGATAAAGTGCAGCAGAGGGGGGCAGGGCCTGGCGTCCTAGAGAGGCTGCCACCTGGCCAGCCTCCAGCCTACTCACCTCTGGTGGTGTTGCTGCTGGTGGTGTACACAAGGACGCTGGCCCCAGTGCTGTCCTCATAGGCACCCTGCGGCTGCCCACCTGTGAGCCTGTGGGGCCCCCACTGCTGGGCCATGGCTCCTGACAGCCCTGTCTCCTCCATCCAGCAGCCGTGGCACACGGCCGGGGGCCATGGCGCTTTATACCAGCCTGCGGGCTCAGCCCGGCCAGCTCACCTTGAAAGCCCCCAAACCCTCCACCTCTGATCTCTTAATTGGGTGCAGACTTAGAGCTCCTTCCCCCTCCCCCCCGCCGTGGCCCCGTGGTCTCAGCTCAGAGGTACTGGCGGGGAACCAAACTCCCCCTGCCACCCAGCACCCTGTTAGGTCTGATAGAGCACCTTCACATGGGGGCGAGGGAGCAGCCCAAACGCCAGTCGGCCTTGCCCGTCTGGTTCTTATCGGGGCTTCTGGGGACTGCCCAGCAGCGAGTCTTGCCTTCAGCTCCCCCCTCCCCTTGCTCTCCCTGAACACCGGCTGCTTCCATCACCAGTGTGCTTGTCTGGGCCCTGGTGCGGGCCCGCAGGTGCCCACAGAGGCTTGGGTCTTCCTCCCCCTGAGTTCACAACCCTTCCATGGGCTGCCTCTGGTCACACTCTGCCTCTAACTTCCCTTCAGAATGTTCTCCGCGGGCTGCCTCTAGTCACACCCTCCCCTCTCAGCCCACAGCTGCTTGGCTTCTGCCCGTTACCTACAGCCTTGCCTCACTTTCGAGCCCCCCTCCACCAGCCCCCCTCAGGGAGCCTGTCTGTCCTGTCTCGTGTCCTTCCCCTCTGCTCAGTCCAAGCTGCCTTCAGGCACATCCTTTGGGTTGGCCTTTAAAAACTAAGAAAACACAACCCACTGCTGTGAAGTCGGACCCGACTCATAGTGACCCCTCCTTGGGTTTCCGAGGCAGTATCTCTACGGAAGTAGATTGCCCAACCTTCCTTCTGAGGAGTGGCTGGTGGGTTTGAACTGCCAGCCTTCTGGTTAGCAGTCAAATGCTTTAGGCACTATGCCACCAGAGCTCAATGAAACCAAGATGTGGGGCTTTGGCCTCCCTGTTCTTGGTCCTTGTATTCTTAAGGTCCCCAGCGATTGGATCCTCTCTGCCATGCCGGAGCTCAGGTGAATTCCCACCTGGCCACCAATAGCGAGGATGGCCAGGCACTGGGCCAGGGACTGCACGGGGCCCCAGTCTCACCAGGGACCCGTTGTCAGGGTAAAAGCTGCGCTTACTGCCCAAGAGTGCCCAGCCAGCCCTGCATCCACCATTAGGGGCCGATCCATGCCCTTCCCTCAATCCGTCCTGAAGTTCTGACCCTGTGAACGTGACCTAATAAAGTCATACCAGACTGGCCTGGATCCTCAACTGAATGCCTTGGGAGTGGGGTCTTATACAGGGGGCCTGGACTCCCTATGGAGCAGTTCTCCTCTGTAACAGTGGGGTTGCCACCAATCAAAATCGACTTGACAGCAATGGGTTTACAGACACAGAGAGACATACCATGTGATGCCAGGGGAAAAGGACAAAGGCCGTATGCTTCTATTGACAGCAAGTGGCTGGAAGAGGCAACTTGGCAGAGACAAGCCGATTAGTTGCTGCAGGCTGAGGGAGGGGAGACAGGGTGTGAGTGCTTCCTGGGTGCAAGGTTTCTTTCAGCTGTGTGAGGAATGTTCTGGAGTTAGACAGTGGTGCTGGTTCCACTGGGAGTCAGTCAACTGTGTGCCACCGGCTTCTTTATGGATGGTTACACTAAGTCCCACTGGGCACCTTTCCTCTTCTTCTTGTTCAACTAAATGCTCTTTTAGAAACTGGTCCATTCTGCAAGGGGCAAGGTTGTGGTCACTGCTTGGTCACAGCCAACTACCCAGAGGGACCGAGTAGTTGAACCTGAGGGCTCGGGACCATAATCACAGGGGACATCAAGCTCAATTGGCATAACATACTATACAAAACATTGTTCCACTTCCTACTTTGGCGAGTAGCGACTGGGATCTCGAAAGCTAGCAAGCTGCCATCTAGATGCAATGATGGGTCTCTCCTC